TACTGACTGGCTCACAAGTGCTTCAGCACTTCCACGCATAGAATGCCAGTGGAGATCTGGCGAGGAATGAGGCTGGCTGCTGCTTTTATAGTGCTGGCCTCTCCTCGCTGGGTCTGCATTTGGCTGCTTCAGGCCTTCCTTTGTCCCAGACCCTGCATTGCATGTGTCCCAGTACAGTCCCAATGAAGTCAACTGCTGCTGAGGCCTCTCGGCCTGGATTTGGACTCTAGATGTCTGGATCTGGACTGTCTTCTCAACTTAGACCAGAACTGGGACTTTACCTATTGACTTACTTTCGGACAGGCACAACTTTAGACGAACAGACACACTCACTGCCTGAACAGACACTCACATTGTGTGAACAGACACACTGACTGCACGTACAGACACACCCTTATCCGAACAGACAGGACATGTGCATCTCCTGGCGAACAGGTAAGTCCTTTAACCATGACCTTTGCTTTGGTTTAGGATGTGCCCGTTGATAGAGAACTTGACCTTTGACCTTCTTTCACGTTTCTGGATCCTGGCGAGATACCCCTTCACGCTGCTTTACTTTTACAAGGCCTGTAACGGGTAAAGGCCCTTCTAGATAGATCGATCGATTGACCAACTGATCGACCGATAGACAGGCCCACCGACCAACTAATCGATCTACCGACCGACCAACCTACGGACAAACTGACTGACTAAAATGGTTCAACCGATGTGGGTGTAGGTAGACATATAAGGCGGGCGTCTAGCATTGGGTCCAGACCAGGTATCCATTAGGTATGGAAAGGCGAGAGTGAACCTCAGCCCCGTTTTAGCTTATGTAACCAGTCTCAGGTCAAGGCGTACCTCAGTGGCAGTGTAACGGTATGCTAAACAAAAAAGGTATAGCCCTTAACACTAATGTAAAGTCAAGATTTGAACTACGATTTAGCGATCAGGCGGGTATCAGACCAGGTACACGATCAGTGTGATGGCTCTAATGATGCTGAAGATGATGATAATGGTCGTGACGCCGACGGGTCGCAATGACGGCAATGACCCTTTCCTTCTTTGTACATTCTATCACCATAGTAATGATCCCCTTTTTGCGTTCTAGGGAGAGAAGAGAGACAAAAGAGAGACAGAGAGCGAAATTATGGGAGAAAGGACAGTGGAGCGAGAGAGAGTGGGACAAGAGGATGGTAGCAAGACACAAGAGGAGAGATACACAGAGAGAGAGGGGGAGGGGAGGGGGGGGGAGAGAAAACAAATGGCACGGAAAAGAATGATGATAATGATGGTCACTCGATGACAATGCTAAAGAATGCTGATAATATGACCCCAACAAATAATGTCAACCAATGACCATGCTCATGATGACGATGATGACGACGGCGATCATGGCGATGGTGATGACAATGATAACGATGCTGATGACGACGACTATAGATGATGATGATGATGATGATGATGATGATGATGATGGTAAAAGTGATGATGTTGCTAGTGCTCATGACAATGGAACGGAAAGCACGGCATGATGACGGCGCCAATCATGATAATGACACCAGACAACGATGATGAAAACCGTGATGCCGGCAATGACCACAAGAACGATAACGACGAATCGATATATAATGTTCGTGATCACACGCGGACACTACAATGACAATGACGATGATCATGGAAAAACGACACGTGGTGATGACGAGATGATGATAATGGAATGATGTGACATCAACGATCCAAGGACGGGCGCGAGGAAAGGAGCAATTACAAGGGGAGTCCAAGCTAAGGCCAGAGGGAGAGCGAGAGACGGGTACGTTCACGGGGAAAGAAGAGAAAAAAAGAGAGGGGAGGGAGGGATAGGGAAAGACAAGGCCGAAAAACAGAAAAAT